TGACCAAGAAAAATGCTCAATTTAAATGGGACGACCAATGCGCCTCTCCTTTCTTTTGTATTAAACAAGCTTTCAAGGACGAGACTATGCTAGCCCACTTCGACCCCCGACGCCAGACTGTCATGGAAACCGACGCTTCTGATTTCGTAACCGCCGCCGTTCTCTCCCAATATGATAACATAGGTATACTACGCCCTGTTTCCTTCATGTCAAAAAAAATGTTACCAGCCGAGTGCAACTATGAAATATACGACAAAGAACTCCTGGCTATTGTTAACGCATTTGAGACATGGACAGCTGAGCTTAGCTCGGTGGAAGCATCAACTCTGGTCCTTACTGACCACAAAAATCTGGAGTATTTCACCACGACAAAAAAACTAAATTGCAGACAAGTCCGGTGGAACAAATTACTCGCAGATTTCGATTTTAAGGTTGTTTTTAGACCCGGTAAGCTAGGGGGCAAACCTGATGCTCTGACTCGAATTCACGCAGATAAGCCAGCTGATAGTAATGATATTCGAAATATTCATCAACACCAGACGCTCCTCAAGCCATCCCAAATTGTTCGCAACATAGAGGTGAGCCCCTTACCCATACTAGGATCGACAAATACGGTGGAGCCTACTCCTGGACTAGTTACACTGACAGAAAATTGGGAGCAACATTGCAACAAAGATATTTACTTTCAGCAGATTCGATCTGCACTTAACGATTCCTCTGCAAAGCGCTCGGATATTCAATCGGCCTCCTGCACCTTAACCCCTCATTCATTCTCACTTAATGAAAGGGAGTATGTCCCACATGCACTTCGTGAAATTCTCCTTAAACAGCTTCATGATTCTCCTCTACATGGACATCGCGGAGCAGCCGCTCTCTATGGTATGTTGAGCCGTCAATGCTGGTGGCCTAAGTGTCACCAGGATACAATTAAGTATGCTAGAGGGTGCCAGGCTTGTCAAAGGAATAACCCGGCCACCCAAAAACCTCATGGCTTTTTACAGTCCCTACCTGCTCCAGAGGCTTCCTTCCGTCACTTGACCCTTGATTTTGTCGGACCCCTGCCGGAGTGCCAAATTAGAGGGTTTACTTATCGTTTTATTATGCAAGTTGTAGATCGTCTCACAAAACGGGTCTGGATAATACCCATAGAAGGTCCATCCGCTCATGAAACAGCCGAAGCGTTCCTTAATAATGTCATTTGTTTTGCGGGCCTCCCTGATTCCCTAACCTCAAATCAGGGCCGCGCTTTTATTGATAAAACTTGGAAAGAAATATGCTCCGGACTTCAAATTACCCACAAATTATCAACATCATATCACCCTCAGACAGATGGTCAAACAGAACGTGCCAACAAAACCTTAGAAGTATTCTTGCGGCATTACGTCAACTACTACCAAGACGACTGGGCAAAACACCTACCTCTGGCCGAGTTCTGTTGTAATAATAATGTCAACGCATCCACCAGACTAACACCATTTTACGCTTCCTTCGGTCACCACCCCCGACTTGATTTTCGACCTGATTCAGAGTTTCCGCAGTCTCGTAGCACTCCCGAATTCATAGCACGAATAAAATCTCTAGTCCAACACTGTAATGAAAATATCAGGCTAGCTCAGGCTTTCCAGTCTACCTACGCAAATGAAAAGCGCCTCCCCGCACCCAGGTATAAAGTAGGCGACCTTGTTATAATAACTAGGCTATATGGGAGCAGGACGATGGATACTCTTGGGGAAGTTATGCTCACAGTAGGTCTCTATAGTCACTGTCGCGTGTGTTCTCGTGATATGTAAGACTTGACTCTATATTCTCGTATAAAGGAAACTTAGATACAAATGAATGGATGGAGGTTGAGACCTCCTTATATCTTGCCCCAGACTTACTGTGTTGTTCACAGCCTAATGCTAGAACATTCCCTTATGATATCATTTCTCTCCTACGAGAAATGATCAGCTCGTTCTCTCTCAGTCTATCAGTCTCCCGCTGATTCCATTATCTCTATTCCATCGAGTTCTAGTTTGGTCCAGTATACCCACACATGCATCACACACTAAACACCCCACGGTTTAGTTCCACAGTCACGTGCATGTGCTATGACGCGACCTAAAGCATGTACCATGGTAAGTTACATGGATAACACAACAGACCTCGTATACCTCTCGCTAAAAAATCTGGCTCTTACAAGACCTTCGAAGAAACTAGACCATATCTGTGCTGGACTGTGGAAGATATTAGCAATGAAGACCCCCTTAGTTGCAAAGCTAGACCTGCCATTCCAATTTAAAATTGACAATAACTTTCACGTTAGTCTTCTTCGCCCAGCTTCTATGGGGTTTCCCTCACAACAAAACGTAATTCCACCGCCCCTGGAAATATCCGACTCAGGTCACGAGGTTCATGAGGTAGAAGCCATTTTAGATTCGCGAATACGCCGAAAGAAGCTGCAATACCTGGTGCGTTGGACTGGTGACAATGACACTACATGGGAACCTCACAAACACTTAGATGGTTGCCCTGATCTTCTCCAGGACTTCCATAACTCTTACCCTAATGCACCACGCTTGCAGGAGCTCGCAACTCAAAATGAAGGGAGAGGGTAATGTAAGGATTCTTGAGAAATGCCTCAGGCAGGATTTATGGGTTCCTTGTTTAATCCCACTAGTCTTTATTGCCTAGCAAGGGCACCTATGTAGTTTCCATTTCCGAGACTGATATCTTTACGCTTTGTTATCTGTCTTTAGGAATAGTTACATTATTCTAATTACATCTCAATCTCTTCCTCTGCCAAACATAGTGACCTACTGTCACCTCCGGTCCCTCTATCTAGAACGACTCCCCGCTTTCCCTTTTACCACTTCTCTAGAAAGCCCTCCGCGTTACCACGAGGCGTCCTTCCTCAGTACATCCTACGCTACGCCCTCTCCTACGCCTCGAGTCCTGCGCCTAGTGAACCTGCGCCTGACAGGCATCAATTTCACCGACAATTCCGTGTTTTCTATTAGAAGGCCTCCATCCTCGTTTAATATGGCCTAACTCATGGCGACCCAGGTCATTGGTGCTTTCATTGTTCCTAGAATTATCAATCCCTTCCGATGTGACCCAGCCCCAGCTTCGATTTGGTAAGACATTTATTTCTTCGTGTTGATGTGATATCTGTCCAACGATCTTTGTCCAAGAATAAAAGTCGTTCTGCGGTAGAAGGTGATTACTGGCCAAAGCTTTTCGAAGGGTTTTGTTTAATGCACCACGGAGCATGGTGATTTTAGTCTAGTCAGGCCACATACCACCTCTTGTTGTGGTTATGAGCTGTGAGGTATATAGCAATTATGTCTCTGCTGTCCGTCGGTGGAATTACAGGGGCTCATGTGCAATGGTGAGTCGCGGAGATGGCGCGCTCACGCTGGGTGATGGCACGATGGACACTGAAGGCATATCACTGTGGCCAAATTGGTGTCAGAAGGTATCAAATGTGAACTCTTACTGACGATGGTGATCTATGAAGGTGATGCTAGATGTGCATCCCGATGATTGATAATATCATCTAATGGATGATGCGAAGTATGATATTATTTTGGATAGATTAATTCACTAAACTCGGCAGGTGAAGAGATTGTAAAGTACATGGACAGCGTCTGTGGACCAGCCTGTATTTTCCACCCTTTCCTAATCCAGCAGCCCATCCTCCGTTCCCCTGTCTCCTAACAACTCAACCGAGCCAGCACAACACCTCTCCCTTCTGTAAGCTTATTTGACCAGGCGGGAAAAAATGTATTCCACTCTTGGTACTCTCCCATCTTTAATTTTCCCAATTCCGTTCTAGCACGGGTGATTCGAGTGAGGTCCCAGTTGCTACAGTCCAAGAACCCGATAAAATCCTCTGGGCTCTCCATTCCGTTTTTTCCTCCAGTCTCAAAATGTGAACCGGCCTCCTCTTAGGCCACTCCATCAAAAAGAATTGTAAACCATGAAAACACTTACTGGTCACTATATTTGAAAGTGTTCCAGTCGAGACGTAGAGCAGACAGCACAGCCTTTCTCCATGCAGGATATTTCTTCCTATTACCATCGTAAGAAGGTAGTTGGTTAGGCTTTAATTTACCATTCTTCCTCGTTGGGTCTTTGATAATCTCAACCTCTGAGGTTTGATCAGGGGTCCTGCTAGGTAGTACTGAGACACCTAATTGTATTCGAAGGCTGAGGTTTTCCTCCTTCAAGGAATCGTTTTCAGCCAAAGCTGACTTCAATTCGGTGGACATATTCCTCGTCTTACGTGAAACCTATATCGTCGTTCATTTATCGTCGTTCGTGAGTGGTGAGTTTTTTTTTGAGATTGAAAATATGTCACAGTCTAAGCGTAGGCACTTGGGCAACCTTATGGTCAGAGGTAGTTCATTTTCAATCTATGGTGAACTGTAGAACGAAGAGGATAATAACAGCTACTTTATGCATGATTATTATCCCAGCCAATGACACGGCTTTCTACCCGTTTACCCGTTTACCCGCATATCCACATATCCGTATATCCGTTCTTGTATCCTACTCTTGCGCCTCATTCTCGGAAGTTGTACAATATTGATATTGCCACTTGTAAGCCCCTACTTCCGAGAATAGGCTCCGCCTAGTGTCACGCCAAGCCTATGTTGGACAGCGTAGGTTACAGGTAATTATCGGCTTACAAGCCGTCACAATGATTAAAGATATGTTAAAGTTCAAGTATGGCAAAAAGGCAACCCCACAGTCGGAGCTTTATTTTCAATATATATGGTAAAGTACATAATTAAGAGGATGTTTAAAGCTTTTCCCTGCACCATTACTATCCCTACCAATGACACAGTTTTCCTCTTGCGTTTATACGTCCGACTCTGGAGCCTCATTCCCCGAGGATTTCCAATGATGGACTTGCCACTTGCAGGTCCCAGCCTCGGTGAGTAGACTCGACTTAGTTTTGCGCCAAGCCTGCCTTAGAAACTACAAGCTACTGGCAACTACCAGCTTACCTACCATCACGATGGAAATATATCTTTGCGCCAAGCTAGTGTTTGTTGATAATCACTTTGCAAACCACATGCAGACCATTGCGAACTTGTCAATTCAAACAAGCGGATTGATGAATCTACCTTATCAACCTGGATCAAGTAGGTTGTGATGACTAGTAATAGAAAGGGATTGTTAGCAGGAGCAAAGTATGAGGATTAGGAAGAAAAACCTCCTGATGGTACACGAGTAAATTTTCGTGTTTTGTGATTTTGTCCATAAGGAACATCAGGGCCGTTGCTAATCTTTCTGCCAACAGTTGCTCTCGATGCTAAATGTGTGATCTGTTCAGCCGGGAATTTTTCACCATCCCAACATTCATAATATTCTGCTCCAAAGGCGGCAGGCATTAGGAGTAAGAGACCAGCCAACGCTGCGGTCGAAGTAGTATTTAGAAGCTTCATTTGGAGGACGTCTTTCGGACAGAACTAGATTAGACACTTGGATGGTGAGTCGTCTAATGTTTGGATCAAGGCCCAAGGGAGATGAGACAATAGATGCTAGAGCTTAATGATGAAATTGGGTTTCTGTCGACGAGTGTGAAGGGAGTGTGGGACGACGATTTGGGCGATGGTATGAGCAGGAAGAAAACCTCTCACATACTTATACTTTTGATTAAATTTAATTTGACTCGAAAAATATGTGTATTTCAGTTAAGTGACGCAGCAGCATCCGCCTCTTGTTCCGTGACGAGACGAGCCAAAGGAATAAACAAGCCAAGCTTTCCCTAAAAAGCTTATGCGTCGATTATTTTCCGGACCCCCGAGCTCTAATTTCATCATGAGTGGAAGATGAATATTTAAATAGTGCGGGGGGAATGTGAGGCTAAACTGGCCAGTACTGTTACTGACTCTTGCTTCATTCTGATGGTACATTTTTTCTGCTTGACCATGCTTGACAGCTTGATAGGAGCGATCTTAGATGGACCTAACCGACAGTTGTGGAATATATTATCCTCATGATTTATTCATCACCGCAGCCTGCTAAACTTGACCTTGGGTCGAATCAACTCAACTTCCGCTATCCATGGAATTCATTACCAGCGCGCGCCGATTCTCAGAATTTGCCTTAGTCTCGATCCTGGTGGATCAACTCAGTCAAATAAACGGTGAAGACCTCTCAGTGGTGGGGGCTACGCATAGTATATAAACTACATGGGTGCAGCTCATGCATACACTTCATCCTCTCCTCCCGTTCGTGATGGAGAAAAGCTACGCACTGGTCACGGACCCATCGCAAATAAAGAATAGTTGGTAATGACGAGATATTCTTGAATCATCCGAAATACTTTTAGCCTACTAGCGGCGGATTCCCAGGGGAGAGTCAAGTGGGCAGAATCAGAGACCTCTCGCTTTACAAATATTTAGTGCATTGCAGTAGTTTAGTTGAGAAGCTTAAGCAGTGAGGCCTCTATTTAATATCACTTAGTGAAGCCAATTGGGAAATTGGAGAGTCTGACCACTACAGTGGGGCGTCGTTGCTCAAAGCCATTCGGTATCAGGATGCTTTAAAATCTAATTGTCACAACTAGGCAAATTACAGGGCTCCTCGCTCAGTGTAGATAATCAAAGGCCGGCAAATATGTAGATAATCGTGAGCCTGGCGGCGCAAGAGAATAAGCTTTTTGACACTCCATGTAAATGACGGTCTTCATTTCCAACTAGCACCAATTTCAACAGACTCCCTCCTACTGGATTTATTGGCTGGTCATGACCATTGTCTGAGTTGATTTGAGTGAAACGGTTTGGCCGTGCTAGAGGCGGCTGGATCTACCACAAAGCACAAGTTCAGCTGCCCTGTCTGCTTACTATATTCCTCGAAAATATTGGTCAATAGCCTCTAATACTGAAAAGAAGCTGAATGGGAGTCATATTATTTGAATTATGCTGACAGGGAAGAGGGAGGTGTGTTTATTGCAGTACTTGAGTCGTAGACGATCTAGCACATCGGGCTCCTCTCTGGTCCAGGCCACACCTTTTACAGTGCTCCTTGCCTCTTTTGTTCCTTCAAAGATCATAGATATATTGCCCACCTTTTCCACGGAACCTTCTAGCCAAATAAAAAGGTAACGGTGGAAACTGCGTGCGCGTAAAAGAGTTTCGAAAACCCTGCAAGCCCAGCCAGGCGAGGCCTAGACACCGAGACCACATTAGGTGCGCATATTCATCTACATCTTCCCTCTTTGCAACAGTCGAGGCCGACTTGATCCAATCCACCATCTCCGTATCGGGTGCTTGGTACGCTCCGGAAACTCATCGGATGGCTTTTTCTCCGTGGTCAAGGTCTGGTGACGAGAAGGGCTCCAACCCTACCATTTGATTTGATCGTGGTTATCTTCATGATAATGGTGTTGGGGGAATGTGTTGAGAGATGAAGATGATACAGACGGCGAAAGCGATTGGGAATCCTCGTCAAGGTGAGGATTTTGTTACTCAATCTCGGCTCCGCAGACTCTATAATGAGAGCTGAAGGTTCGTAGGAGACACCACTAACAGGTGTTGAGAATAGTCCCCTCTGATAGAAGAAACTGCGTGCCAAAAGTATATAAATCCACTGATGACGGGGTATGGATACACTATCCCGACAGTTGTCTATGATTATTGCAAGACATCTTGAACACCTACCGATATAGACAGGGTGCCAATGCTTCTAATTTAGTAATATATGGCCGCAATTCTCAGTGATTTATGGGTGAAGATTGAAAAAGACAAACCTGCAGTACTACGTGATCTCAAACTTCCAACCAGTGAATACTCTCAGTCGAGGCTCGTCCATTCTGTGCAAACGAAGAAAATCTTTTAAATTATTCAAGTGTATTCAGCTATCTATCCAAGGCACATGATAAATGCTATGTAGACGTGTCGGAGCTATGCGGAATCTACTTGCAAGACCGGCCGAGACGACGTACCACTGCACCATGCAGCCATGACGGTGTCTAAACTGTCACCTGCACTCTCTCGATTGACGTCGTGTAGCGCACAATGCTCAACTTGAAAAAATCATGTCCAAGACTCGAAAGGTAAATCCTTACAACTTTGTTTCCACCCTTCGCATCAACTTGCCAATCTGTCCTAATATCTCTCACGTCCATCCCGAATGCCTGCCAACAAGACTTGTGCGCATCGATTTGTTTCTTCCGGCGGGTGTGGATATCGTCGTAGGCATATATTTGGAGGCCACCAAAGGCCAGAAACTGGGTTTACGAAAGGTATGGTCATAGAAAAGAGCATGTACTAGGTCTTACTTGAGGAATTTGTCAGGCTATGGTGGAAATCATTATTTTTGAAAGTAAATTTTGATTTTATCTAGAGTATTAAACCATTTACTTGTGAGCCATCTTCGGTATTGCAAATTTGACTGAATTTGGCACTGGTAGAATATTTCACTCCCAGACACATGGAGGACACCGCATACAAGTGTTCAGTCTTTGCCCTCCAACTACACATTTTATTGGCACTTACGAATGAAATACAGTTCGAGTATCTCTTGTGTTAAGTGATGTCCAAGTGTTCTTGGAGCACTAGTCTCGAGTAATGGGCGTATTGCTGAGCTCATCATAATTACTAAAACATGATGGTCTTGTTGTCTCTTGAGTCATTGTTGAGAAGGGATCCTAGTAATTAGGATGGGCTGTAGATTAGATCGCGTGTGCCGGACAATCCGGGGAAGATGACTAATATTGTATCTTAATTCAGAATGATCATCTGTCCTTCGTTATCATTACATATATTCACAAACAGCGCAACTACCCACTCGCACGCGATCATCAACCCATACAATCCAAATATTACTATCGTCATGTTTGACGCCAAAATTCCGAATTTTGTTCATGCCTAGTAATCACACGAGTCAGACGCGATCCAACAGCTAGGACCTAACAATGGGCTATCCAGAGGGGAAGATTAGAGGTAACACTCCTACACAGTGTCCCACATCATCGAGAGAGAGTACTGTTCCCGTTCCGAACTAAGATTCAGTCGCTTCCTGATTTTGCACTAGAGATCTTTTCGGCTGTTGTGTCCAACAAAAGTATTTCATTGGATGCGTGGTCGAAAGGTCAGACTATAGACAGTTCAGCAACGCACGCTCCAAGACGAGAGTTCGAGATCAAGAATCGAGACGGTCTCGAGCTTGCTCCGTTGTCAGACTATATGATATGCAAGAATCCCTACAAATTTTATCTTTTACAATCCAAAAAGGTCAGATCGATACCCCAAAATCTCCATATTTTTAGACGGCGAGAAAAGCATCTGAGCCCATATTCCTCAAGCCCAATAATATCATACTAGTTTCAGAAACTACGCGACACAATTTCGTGCGAGAAAAGGACTTGGATGTTGGCCTCATCGATCTTGACATTCAAAAACATGACTATGACAACAAGGAGAACAATTATTACGAGTGGCTGGGTTTAAAGTGTTAACAAAGATAACGACATTATAATAGGAGAATATGCAGTGGGGAATGAGTGCTGATTTGATCTGAATGCTACTCGTACCATGCCCATACCCCTTACCAGGAGACGTATTACGGCGATGAGGTCTCTAGGGACTCACATCAACCTACTTAATCAAGCCCTTTGGAACTGGAGAATACAAAGGAGACCAATATTAAATTCCGTAGCAATGGCGCCCTAAATAGTGTCTATTGTAATCCATCGCTTTTCACTGGTCTCAAAACATGCACCGGCCTCTTCCCCTAGAATTGTAAATCATGAGAAAAGCTTGCTGGTCGGCGCTTGATTAACTTCCAGCCAAGACGCGGAGCCTACAGCACGTTGGGACATAAAACGAGTCGGTAATGAATACATCGATTTAATCATCACCAACTCGTTTCATGTCACACCGTGCTGCCGGCGCCCTCCGTTCTCCTATGGGAGCTTGAGCACGAGTGGGGCTGGGCTGGATCAGGTCAACTGCCAAATAAGTACAAGTGCCTCGTACCATCTAAATGACTGAAACACCCCAAACTACTCCTTCGTGTTGAGCATGTCGAGTTCAACCGGCCAGGGAAACTTATTTTAACATGTCGAAGCACAATTTCCTCCTCAGCCTCGGCCACAACACGCTCGAGCCCTTGACATCATTCAAATCTCTATTCTGTCGACTCTGGTCAGTCGCAGTCATGCCCACCCAGCATCTCCTCAGCTCATCTGGGGCTGACTCTCTTCATCAGAGACCTCTTCCAGTCTTCCACCGGGGCCTTTGCATTTTTTTATCCCTTTTCATCCTCCATTGTAGCTGTCCTTGATCCTGTGTAGACTTTCCACCCCTCCAGCTTCGCCCCATCGCTGCTGTCTCCCTAACTGTGTAGGGATAATATAGATCGAGGAGCTCAAGACGAGGGAACGATTCCTTCCTCTTTGTTGAACGCTCTAGTTAATGTGCCGGCGAGACGTCGTTCG